TCAAATCACATTTAGAGGGGAAGTTGCTTCTTGAATCTCGATCACATGTCCTTTTACAGCAAGGCTTGACCGCTGTGATGAGTCGTCATTCCGATGTCGCAACGGGCAATGCATTCCTAACTCATGGATGTGTAACGAAATAACAGATTGCATGGATAAAAGCGATGAAGATAAGCAGGTAGCCTTCAGCTCAAGTTTACACTTTCTCAACCTAACGAGGGGCGTTCCCGACAAGCGGTCGCGTTGCGGTCGGTTGTCCAACGCGTCAGTACGTGTAAAGATTCGCTTACGTGTACGTGTCGCGACATGTTAACGACCGCTGCACCGTTCTCATCAAGGAACGCTCAGCCGATTGGGCATCACTCACATTTGGGTATTAATAACTTGAAAGTTGATTTTTAGTGAAGAGATCAATATTCAGATGTGTACAACTCGTTCATCAGAATGCGCAGCGGATGAGGTGACCTGCGTGAAAGGCGAACGTACTACTTGTGTGTCACAGGAGATGATCTGTAACCAGAGCCACGAATGTGAGAAGTAAGGAATCTTTCATTTGAAAGGAAAGTTCGTCCCGCACAGTTGATGCTGTATGTCATCGGCGATGTTTCTTGACGTTGTGCACTGAAGTGGGAGGTGAACGGCTCAAAAAGACGTAAGTAGTGTGGGATAGGAGTCGGGCAAAATGAGCCGGGCGTGCCGTGGAAGCAAAGCGATAGGGTGTAGCAAAGGACCAGAGCTTCCGAGAAGGGGTTACATATGGGTACCACCGTTAGGCCCAACCGTCTAGATTAAGATTATTCAGTCCGAGATGGGAGAGAGTGCCTAAAACTGAGAGAGGAAGAGCATCACAAGAAGAGATACTAACTTTCGCGATTTTTTGCCAGTTTCTGCGAAAAACAGGGGGGGGGCGGGGGGCCGGAGAATCGTGCTGTTTTCATCCTACACTCACTTGGCTCCCTCCCGACCAGCTACATCAGTTGGGGGGAGGGTGGGAGGCGGTAGTGAGGAAGGCACAATGGCTGTAAGTGTTTTGCCATTAGCCGCTTGTAGCAGGCTATGTAGCGAAATATGCCTCTGAGTCAGCAATAGGCTGAGATTTCGGAAACTCAATATGCTGTTCGGCTTGGGAGGGGGCCTTTGCACTTTCTGCTAGTTATATTTGCCGTTCCCGTACTAACACGTCTTATATTAGTCACACCTGTAAACACTTGTGAAGCTGCAAAATTTACATAAAAGTCACTTTCGTTACAAGAATTTACAAGTCTCCACAAGGTTGAATGTACGGGATTCACTGAGTACAATTTACTGCCACCACCAGGCCGTATGCTCCTCGATGTTCTGCAGACCTTCTGCATGTTAAATAAGTGGCTTCATTTGATGTTCGAAAGCGTTATTTTCAGCTTGAAGTATTTCGCCGAGACGATGTGTGGAGTGAACGAGTGCAAGTTCGATTTGTGCGAAGAGCAATGCATCGATCTACCGTTTGCCTATCGTTGCGAATGTAGGCCGCCAAAAGTCGTCGATCCAAAGAACCCTGCCAGATGTATAAGTAAGTTTTCGACCAATCACAGCGCAGCTATGTGCCTCTAGCCAATCACAGACTTAGGCCAGAACTTACTTGAAAAGTTTTCTTTCAGTGGGTGATCGGTGCTCGTCGTCGAATTGCTCGCAGTTTTGTATCGAGAAAGGTAACGGCAATCACGAATGCGCCTGTGGTACAGCTTATCTGCTGGAGAGCGATGGACTTGGGTGCAAATTGAGGTCTAAGGGTGGGTAGTTTAGCGCTTTTACAAGTATCTTATAACTGTACTATTCTGGATATTGCAGCCGTTCCTCCGATGTTGATCTCAGTGGCGAGCGACGTCGTACGCATCACTTCCTTCAGGGACTCTTATCAGACGTTATCGATAAATACGTCAACTGGACGAGCTGTAGCGTACAGTACCCGGTAAGAGTGAACAGTTCTTTCCATTAAGTTTCTGCTATTGATTAATTGATTGATTGGACATCCTTCAGCACGTCATCCGTATATTGGATTGATGATGACGAGACAGTTGGAAGAACTTTCACGAATGGAACGAGTTTTGTGAGTCTTT